ACATTACTCAGCGGATGTGTTATATGCTGCACACCCATCATTAGTTGGTGTGTGTGTGTGAGATTCCACCTCAAACACACCAACACACACACACACACACACACACACACACACACACACACACACACACACACACACACACACACACACACACACAGTATATCAAAGCATGCTCAGATGCACACATTAGTAACCATTAAACATGAGAGCCAAACACACACACACACACACACACACACACAGGTGATGATGGTGTAGTAGTGTTAGGCTGCAGTGAGCATGCTGTCACAGGTGTGTGTGTGTGTGTGTGTGTGTGTGTGTGTGTGTGTGTGTGTGTGTGTGTGTGTGTATGTGCGTATGCGTGCGTGTGCGTGTGTGTGTGCGTGTGTGTGTGTGTGTGTGTGTGTGTGTGTGCGTGTGTGTGTGTGTGTGTGTGTGTGTGTATGTGTGTGTGTGTGTGTATGTGTGCGTGTGTGTGTGTGTGCGTGTGTGTGTGTGCGTGTGCGTGTGCGTCTGTGTGTGTGTGTGTGCTGATTCTCTCTCTCTCTCCCTCAGGCTCTCCTCCAGACTCATGATGTCGTGGCTCATGAGGTGTACAGTGATGACGCTCTGCGCGTGACTCCTCCCCCCACCTCGCCGTACCTGAACGGAGACTCACCTGAGAGTGTGAACGGAGACCTGGACCTGGAGAACGTGACGCGTGTGCGGCTGGTGCAGTTCCAGAAGAACACAGACGAGCCCATGGTACTGACCCGGCCCACCTTCACCTGTCCTCATGGGGGATATATGAGGAGTGTGTCTGATGTGTGTGTGTGTGTGTGTGTGTGTGTGTGTGTGTGTGTGTGTGTGTGTGTGTGTGTGCAGGGCATCACTCTGAAGATGAACGATCTGAATCACTGCATCGTGGCCAGGATCATGCACGGCGGGATGATCCACAGACAGGGTACTGCACTGGTGTGTGGAGCTGCGGCTGTGTGTGCTGCTGCGCCTCTCTGCTCACACCTGTGTGTGTGTGTGTGTGTGTGTGTGTGTGTGTGTGCTGTTTTTCAGGAACGCTGCACGTTGGAGACGAGATCCGGGAAATCAATGGCATCAGCGTGGCCAATCAGACGGTGGAGCAGCTGCAGAAGATGCTGGTGTGTGAGAAACACACTGCACACGACACACAGCGCGCGCAGCTCACACACCACAGCCGATACACAGACTCACATCAGCAGCATTCACACAGCAGAGACACTGATCCTGGAGCAGCTCAGAGCGTCCGCTGAGTGAACACTGCTGCTGTCCCTCAGCACACATGAGGCAGCGCACACCGCTAGTCTGAGTGCCTTTATTTATCAGGGGTCACCACAGAGGAATCAACCAACAACTATTCCTGCATATGTTTTGACTGAGCGGCTGCAGGCTGTCTGCGGGGTTGTTAAAGGTAGTAAATGAAATTAGCCAAAATTAAAGGCCATTAAAAAGCATTTAGAAGTAATAAACATCATCTGACGTCACATCTTCAGCCGGATTTCTTAGAGAAGTTGTCGATTAGTGTTCAGTGCAGGTCTGTAGGCTGAAGTGTGCCTGGATCTATTTATATGCTGAGTGTAGACCTGAGCTCTGTCATGTGAGGTGGTGTTCGCGCGCTCGCTGAAATAAACCGGGGACCCGGCTGGATTGCTGCCGACCATATAGGCGAGCTCGCTTTCTTCATTAATTAAATTAAACATGGGGAAATGCACGTTTTCAGACCTCTGGCTGGAGGACGCAAGAGTTGATGACTGGCCTGGGCCTGTAGTTGGCATCAGGAAGACGATTACCCTGGCGCTGTATTGGTTCACAGCTCTCTCTTAGCTGAAGCTCTCTTAGTTAATTTGCTGTGAAAGGATTTCTACAGTTCAGTTTCAGCAATCTTTAATGCCATTTTGAACACAGCCGTGCCTCATGATGAGAGCTGTAGGCGACCTATTAATTAAAAGAGGAATCTACATGTCTAAAGGTTATGAAAACAATAA